TATCAGTATCATCACCATCACCACCACCACCATCATCATCATCGTCATCATCTTGATATCTTGAGGGAAAAACAATATCTTTAATCTCACTTTCCTCAATTGTAAAATGAGGATTACGTCTCACTGGTTTGATGGGAGGATAAAAGTAGTTTTGTTAGGTGAATATTTCTCAACTTCAAATCCCCAACAAAGAGACAGTCCTGATGACATCAAGGCAGTATTCTTCACAAACCTTTTCCTTAAGCAACTAGTGTACTTACTGATCCTCAAACAGATTAAGAATAGTTCTGTCCCATGAATTTGATATGGCTTTCCTAATTAACTAAATTGCACCTAGCCTCAAGGAGGTCTTTCTCAACAAGCTAGTCAACTAGCCAACGTTTGTCTCCATTGAATGAACACCTATTGCATTGTAGATCTGTTATTTTTGTCAGGCTTTTCTCTTTCTGTGGATGACAGAAGCCTCTTTTCTTCTTGAGAACTGCCCATCCTCCACTGCCTATGCTTCTGGTGGGCTGTCCAGCATGTGTCTCTGTTCCCCACATCAGACTCAGTGAATGTACCTGGGAGGGGTTATCAGAGTTTTCCTGGGCATTCCCATGGGTGCTAGGGAGATGAAAGGGCATGTCCTATGCTATGACGAATGGAAGGAACCTGCCTGAGAATGAAACTAGGCAACAGAGAGTGTACAGAAGACAGTGAGAAAGAGACAGGGAGGGACCGAGTCAGAGAGAGAAGAAGAGAGAAAGACAGAGACAGAGGGAGAGACACACGGCTTGTTTAACCGTTGGATCCACGTGTATCTGAACCAGACTTAGTCTTTGGACTGCCCAGTTGAATGAGCCAAGAAGTGTTTTTCTTCTTTACTCTTTTCAGTGGATGAAGGTGGGTTTCTCAACTCATTATTAAAACAATTCTGAGGATACACATACTACATGCCAAGAACTGCTGTGGATATGGAGAACACGGAGGTACACAGGACAGCAGGGCTGGGTCTACTCACAATTTAGAAGTGAGACAGATTTGGGTCTCAACGCCATTAGACAACATCCAAAACACTCTCCTGGGAGGTTAATCACCGATAGCCCAAGGCCCCAGTCCAGGCTCTGCCATTCAGAGCTCTGTGGTATTTGCCAAGAAACATAGGCTGCATAAGCCTCAGCTCAGCTGGGTACACCTGGGTACACGTAAGCCAAGTGTACCATGAGGATCCAGGGTGGAACTTCCTCCTGGGGTTTGTGTGAAAACAAGTTGATAAGACTTTACATAGTCAGTTCTACAGGAGTCAGGGATCCCCTGGGTCCTGGGACTATGGGGAGGGGCAGGGAGTGGGAATCCACTGTGAACAGCGTCACGGGGGATCCAAATCTTCTCCAGATTCCCTTGAGCACTGTAGAAGTGTATCATTTTCTCAGTATATCGAGATGCAAATTAATGTGGGGGAACAGCCTGAGCACAATGCAGCACGTTGAAAACACTCACTGGGGTGATGGTCTATTTCTCTCCATGAACACTCATGAAAGGGTGGGGCGCAAGGGTAGGATCAGGGGGCCAATGTCACAACAGAAAGGAGATGACATTTGAACTGGATCTTGAAGGATGAGCCAATGTGTGCCTGGCAAAGTAGGACTAGAAGGGCATTCCGGGTAAGGGAAACAGCAGGAGTAAAGGCAGGAAAGGGATGAGTGCACTGAGTATTCAGGAAACGTTGGGTGAGTGGTTTAGTGGGGACAGATTGGAGTGTGTATGTGTCTGGAAATGAGTTTGGAACGACAGGCTGAGCCAACAGAGAAAGAACTACATAACCTGGGCCAATAGGCTGTCCCCTGTTTGGAATAGAAAGATCGAGGCAGAAGTGGGGATGGGAGCACAGGAAGGCTGAAGGGCCAGGGGAAGCCAGTGGGGGCAGTTCCACGTCACCTGCAAAAGTTAGAAACACTTCTCAGAAAGGATCCTGGAATCTACCTGTGTCCTTCTAAATTTGCTTTGTGTTCTGGAGGATGTAATCCTTCTCCAGAAAGAATCTGGCTGCCTCCTGAGGATCAAGATGAACTTCTCCTGTTTTCAGAGTCCACCTTCATCTCCATCTCCCTGAGGATCATGCAGCTTTATCTTGTCAACGTCCAAATAGTCCCCCAAATACCTCACTGAGTGCCTGTGAGTGGAGGTCACGGCTTCTGTGGGCTGGAGGTCAGGACAATGGGGCTGGTCCTTAACTGGGCAGGTTTAAAGAGGCTTGGAGTTTAGAGAAATGGCCTCCTCCAGTGGAATTCATGCAAAGACCCTTTAAAACACCAAGTGAACCGGTCAACATCCACAGCTCTGGAACCTTGGAATTCTCAAACAGCTGATCATCTTGCATGGAATTCAATCACAGTTATGACTTGATCTGTGTATTATAGGAAATTTGCCATTTTCAGAAGATACGAGTTAAGTGCCCACCCAATTTCATATAAACATACCTGGATTTGGGGCATCTTAAAAGTTCAGAAAGTCTGACAATACTGAGCCCCATCGCCAATTTGCTTGTCAATTGGAACTGAGTGTTGACCTTTAGAGACACAGAAACTCTCTAATGTGCCCCAGTCCCCACAATTCTCTATTGTGCTGTGTCAATGCAAAAGGTCAGTTGCCGTTTATCATCGAATTTGTACCACTGTTTTCCTTAGAGAAGAATTAAGAAGAAAGTGTAAAATTTTGGTTCCCAAATTATGACGATAAGTGAGGTGTCAAAATATGGTGAGGTCTACATCTTCTTGATGGAGGTGAATGTATTTCTGTATGCTTTATATGTAAACGATGTAAATCTGTTTTAAGCAACATGACCACAATATGAACTAAATTGGATCTGTGCTGCTTTATGTTATGCTTCATCCCAATAAAAATGTTAGTATGTAGCTCTAAATGAGGTACTGTTATTGTCAGAAATCTGTAGATCAATAAGTGGAGGTTCAGAGAAGTTAAGGTCACACAGCCAAACCAGTGCTGGTCCAGGCTTCTACCAGCTCATTCTGGTACCAGACTCTGCCCGTAGAAGGCTGGCGAGAGTGAGGTCTCCGCTTGTGATCTGAAGGCGAGCATCGTCATCACAAATCCCCAAATCAGGAATCCCTCCTCACCAGCCTCTCAGGGCCCCAGGATGCCTCTGCCCACACAGGAACTTCAGGGCCTCAGTGACAACAGGGACACGGACACAGAGATGGCCTGCCCAGAGTCAGTCACTCATTTACCCCACGTGTCTTGAGAGTGGCAGGTAGGAGGAGGGCAGAGGATGGATGCAGGGAGGCCCAGGTTGAAACCCAGGGCTCCTCCTCTTGCCAGCCCCGTGCCTTGGACAAGCCCTGAGCATCTCCCAGTTCCCATTTTCCATCTGTGAAAAGGGTGAATCAGAGCTCCCCATATCACAGAGTGGATGTGAGGAGAATTAGGGAGAGCTTCAGGAGACAGGGGCTGAGCACAGCGCACAGCAGCTATGATTGCTTTTTATGTTAGTTATTGTTACTCCCCACAGATATTGCGGCTGGGGTCCTCATCCCACCAGGGAGGGTCTTGGCAAGGCTCAGTGGTCCTCCTAACAAGGCCACTGGGGGAAAGGGAAGCCCTTGGAGAAGCAAGTCTAATGTCCCACATGTAACCCCCTCCCCCCAGGATTACATCAACCATTTTCCTGCAGAAACTGGCTCCCTCCAAAAGGGGTGTGGCTGGAAGGAATGTGACAAAGCTGCAAAGGCACGTGTGTTGTAAAACTCTGTCTTCCTGGGCTCCTATAAAAAGGGCCTCCCCTGCCTCTCACTGCAGACGAGACAGCTGCCAGCCTACAGGCTCCCTCTGGCATCTGGGATTGCACTGGATCTGCACACTCTGAGCAAGGTAAGAGCCTGGCTCTCCTAAGACCTTCATTCCACCCTCCCTCTAGCTCCCCCAAGGACCTCAGGTTCCCGGGGTCTGGATCCCACTGGAGACATGTGAGGGCTGAGTCCTAACGTCCTGAGGAATGAATGGGTCTCTGTCTGGTATACCCAACCTTTGTCCCACCCTTCATTTCGGGAGCCCACTTGCCTGTGACTGTCTTCTCTTTCTCTATTCTGAGGGAAGGCCATAAGCCCAGGATGAAAATGAGATGCAGGCCATTTTCTGAGTCAGCTGGTTTGCAGACAAAATTCTGTATTTTATTTTGTAATGGAGCACTGATAATATGAATCATCTTATCATGAACTGCACCAAACCAAACCCTGAGTGGTTCATAGTTTGCTTATTTGTTGCCAATATTTTCTGAAGAGTAGAGTAAAGATAAAGGCATGAATCCATCCATAAGGGTAGGTCTACAGGGGCAGAGAGATAAGTTCTGGCTGCCTGTTCCATCTTGATCACTTGCCCTCTATGGGATCTCGAGCCATTTACTTACTGGTCTAAGCCTTACCTGTTCCGTCTGTTACCTGGGGGTGGTTTATTATCACCTACCAGGCAGGCTCTTTAGTGGACTGAACAAGTTGAGACTAGAATGCTGATGGAGGACATAGCACATAGTAGGGGTTGAATAGAAACCCTATTTCTCTTCTCCTTTCAAGCATATTTCTTTTTATCGCGCATGTGATCTAATCCATGCAGTTTAGTGTAGCATTTTAGGTCAGCCTATTTATTCGATGATATATTTTTAAAAGCACTGACTGAGGGTTTATGTACCCAGCACTGTGCCACAGCAGGGCTCCAGAAATCAATTACACATTATCTCCGCTTTCAACGCTGAGATGTAAATGACTAGCGGAAATGCACCCCATCCCCCGGTTCCATTTGCCCAGTCAACCTGAATGACCTCCCCTCCCTCGTGCTTTTCCTTAGATTCTTACTGCATCCCAAATGCCCCCTCACAAACCCACCCATCTCAGAGAGTCCCACCCCATGCAGGTTTAAACTGGGGTCAGACATCACCTTTCATGTCACTTACCACATAGTTTCTCCTCGTGGAGTGATTTGAATACACGCGGAACCAGGAGTTAGAAATATAGCGCATTAGAGCTGGAAGAGAGTTTGCAATTATCTCATCCAACACCTCAATTTCCAGTAAAGGAACTGAGACACAGAGGGGGAGAGTGACTTGCCCAAGATCTCATTGGAGACACAGTTGGGACAGACTCTTGATTAATGCTGTTTAAATTCCTCCCAAAAGTTTCCTCTAAGCTCTTTCAGACATGACTTGCTCATTCACCTTGAAAAATTGCACATCTAGTCTAGACCGTGTCATATAGTAGGTGCTCCATAAATGTTTATTGAATCACAAATGAAGGAGTGAGTCAGCAAACCGCAGGAGTAAATGAGGGAGTGAACGAGGCAGTGAGAGTTAAGGAGGCTCAGAGAGTGATGAAGGAATGAATGAAGAGCAGGAGGTTCTGCACATTCAAGACTCAAGTCAAGCAGAAATGTGAACGGCTGGGCTGCTCGTCTAGTATCTAGGAGCCAGAAGGATGCTTAGTCTCACTGCTGGCAGGCAGTCCTGTGTGCGTGGGGAGGGAGGGTCAGCCTGCAGCCCTGTACTGCTGAACTGCTGCCCAGCAATGACTCACCTACCCTTTGTCAAACAGGTTCCACCAAGCTGAAGCCATGAGGATCCACAGCCTCACCCTGCTGCCCTTCCTCCTTCTGGCCACTCAGGTGCTCTTGGTGGTCCGTGCACAGGAATTATGGGAACTGCAAAACAATATGGCAACCAAGGATGATTGGATGACTCTGGGTAAGCCCCAAATTGTGCAGAAAGCCGGGCAACACAAGCCCCTGGTCAATGGCGTAATTGTCACCCCAGACCAGGCTTCATGTACTGTGACTCTGATGGAGCACGAGGAGGGCACCGCCATGAAGGCCGTGTGCTCCCGAATGGACCACGACTTTTCCTGTGTCTTTACTGGCAACCCAACTTCCTGCATAGAGGGCTATAAAAGTGACATGATCTTCTGGAGACAAATTGCCTATCGTTTAAGCTGCCAGAGGAACCTTTGTGAAGATGCCAACACGGTCCTGAGGAGCAGGATCTGCAGTAGGAGGTTTCCAGAATCCAATTTCAAGCTGGTATACTCCACTCTGATCGATGATCTCAACCAGTGGGATAGGGACATCACCCCCTGGTGGCATATCATAACCCAGGAGGCCCCCTCCAAGGGTACAACAAAAGTCATACCGTTCTTTCCAAAGAAGGGGATCCAGACCATTGCACCTGTCCCTACAGAGGTGATCCAAGTCACAGAAAGCACCCCCAGAGCGCCCATCATAATTGAACAGACCACCCCCACGGAGCAGACAAAAGGGAAAAAGAGAACCACTACACGGAAGCCCAAGACTAAACAGACCACCACCACAGTGCCCATCGTGATTGAAGAGACCACGCCCACTGAGGAGGTCAAAGTCGAAGAGACCACCACTACAGAGCAGCCCCAGATTGAACAGACCACCACTACAGTGCCCATCGTGATTGAAGAGACCACGCCCACTGAGGAGGTCAAAGTGGAAGAGACCACCACTACAGAGCAGCCCCAGATTGAACAGACCACCACCACTGAGCAGGTCAAAGTGCAAGAGGCCACCACGACACAGCAGCCCCAGATGGAAGAGACCACCCCCACGGAGTCATTTTACAATGAAGTTACCACCCCCAAACCCAACTGTAAGGATGTCTCAGGCGTCAAAGTCAAGAAAACGATAATCTATCAGTCACCCCGTGTAAAAGGACAGAAGACAGCCCAGCAGATGGACGAGGATACAGCCCAGCAGACAGACCAGGATACAACCCAGTAGACAACTTGAATTGCCGTGGAGTCAGGGAGCATCTTCTGCCAAATCTTCAGTGCTGTGTTACAGGACAAATAATTGTAATGAGGCTAAAACTGGTTGAGTCTTCAGGAAATATCATGTTCTTAGTCCCTCTGTATGCTATAAAGCTTTCCAAGTTCTCTATGAAATACGTATGAATTTTGTGCTATGGAAGTGCAGTGGGATATTTCAATAGATTTTGTAATCCTTGTTTTTGTGTTTTTAAATTTCCTTTGTTTAATGGAGTTAAATTTAGACTTCCTTTTAAATTTCCTTTCACTTGCTTGGTTGTGATTTTAAGAGGCTGTTTACCACAAGGTATGTTTCTCTTGCCTATAAAGCTATGTGTACATGCACAGTGTGCCCTTGTATTGAATAGCCAGAATGATGATTTCAGTGCAATGCAATTTCTGTCAAATTAACAAAGATAATAAAGCTCTAGGCATTTTTCAGAAATATGTTTAACTATTGTTTGGTTTCTCTATGTATGGTTCCAAATGAATTCATAATCAGGCCCCAATATATCAATGAAAATAATATGTAAGGCACATTCTTCTGTTGCCCATCCATCCTAAGTCATCCCCAAAGATGACCCATTCCAGAATCCCTATCTTTAAGCTTTCATCCATTAGACTGTGATGTCTGATGCTTACTGGACTGTAATAATTAGGCACCCTGATTTTAAGTGGGACACCTGGGACATGGAGTGATTAACACACTTGTCAGTGTTTCACAGATGGTAAGGGGGGGCAGGCAGGAATTGACCCAGTAGGGCTGCAAGCCAAGTCCTAAGGCTAGAGGGATGCCCTTCACAGACTCAAGTCAGAGCCCATTACCACTCACCATATGGGGGACGCTTGACCTTGAGGGGCTCTTTTCTGGCCTGAGGGAGAGGGGCCTGGGTAAGTACAGTGTCCTGTGATGAAAACTCTAATGGAAGAAAGGAAAAGCAGCATGGAAAACCAGAGGGAGGAGGTGGAAACTGCTGGAAGATCTCAGGTTGAGCTTCCTGGAGGAGGTGGCACTGAAGCTGGACTTTGGGGAGAACCTCTGTAGGTGTAGGGAAATAGGGCAGAATAGAGGCACTTTAGGCAGATGACAACGTGTATAAAAGCGAAGGATGAGAAAATCCTGGAAGATGGGTGAAGCCACATGGCAAGAATGTGGTGGGATACAAGGATGTCAGTTCTATCGGTCATTTCCATGTTAGTGTATGAAGGCTCTGAAAGTGTTTTAAGTCAAGAGTTAGAGAGGATGATGTGCCCCCAATGTCTTGTCACAACTCCACAAGGAGCACAAAGTGAGGAGCAGGTGTTGGTAAAAGCACTGTTCTTTAGAGTGTCTATCAATGGCAGGGAGAATGGCAGGTGGGGTGGAAGAGTGGCCTCTTACACTCATCAACCTACCAGGACCTGCATAGAGAGTCATCAGTGGCCAATCCAGAGTGACATTTGGATATCATCACCAACATCATCAACACTGACATTTGTCTCTGATTTGTTATGCGCCAGGCACTGTGCTAAGATCTTCCTATGGAGTATGCATGCATTCATTCATTCACCCCTTCATTCAACACGTAATATTGGGCACTGACTCTGCCAGACTCTGTTCTAGGAGCTGGAGATATAGCAGTACACAGAGGACGGGTGCTCTGCCCCATGGAATTATCAGTGAGGAAAGTGACGATAAACCCACAAGTATACAAGGGATAGAGAGGAAGAGTAAAGGAGGGGAAGGGGGTAGAAGTGATGGAGGGTAACCAGTCTTAGATGAGATGATCAGGGGAGGCCTCTCTGTGGAGGTGACTTTTGAGCCTAAACCTAAATGAAGTGAGGAGTCAAGACAGGTGCCTGTCTCAGGTAAGGATGTTCCAAATAGAGTGAACAGTCAGTGCAAATCGTTTGAAATTAATTTACTAGTTTATTTTTTACCTACTATGTGCTAGGCAATGTTCTGGGGATAAAAAAAAGCAGCAGACTAAAAAGAAAACAAATCTCTCTCTGCATGATGCTTCTATTCCAACGACTGGCTCCTGCTTGGTGTGTTCAGAAACATCAAAGACTGCAGTGTCATTGTAGGACAGGGCCCAGGGACACACCTGTGCACCTTACCCCTATACCCAAGGGAACTGACCCAACATCCCGGACCCTCCCCAACCTCCTCCTAGCCACACCTCAGGAAGGTCATTTTCCCTTAAGGTCTACACAGATTTTCTGCCCTGTGACTCCCCTCCCCCGATCAGACATCTCAGTTCACTGCAGTCCTGAGATAGGAAGAGACTGTTAAATGCTTCCAGGGGTCATTGTATAATAACCCTAGTCTGGTCCAAGTGATGTAGACATTGGAGAACCGACTAGACCAGACCCACAGCCCTCTTAAGATCCCCTCCAACCCAGGAAGCTGATGGATCTTCTGCTCACTCATGACCTCCAGCCACTGGCAGAGCCGGGACGAGATTTACTCCAGCGTGAGAGTCGGCTGGACCTGGGCTAGAGGTTTGCCTCTCCTGCTTCCCACCCAAGGCCTCTGGCTCAGTTATGTAACCCGTCCAAGCTCAGGGACTCATCTCGACAGTGAGGATAATGACACCGTCTTTAAAGGTTGTTACACTGATATTGGTTGAGAAATCTAAAGCACCTGGTGCCCCACGGCTTCCATAGTAGATGTTTGAGACAAGTGACCATCTAAAGTCCACAGCACAAGACTGGTTGTCTAGGAGGGGTCAAAAACTCCTTTTATAAACTCTTAAAATGTGAGGTGTTTTTTCTCAGTACAAAAAGGCAATGGAAACCACCATATTGACCACTTGGTATGCGCCAGTGGCTTTGCCCCATTCTCTCATTCAATCCCCCAACAACCCCATCTGATAGGTGTTACCCCCCACATTTTCTAGATGAGGAAACTGAGGCTCAGAGAAGCTGAGCAACTTGCCAGGCTCAGGAGGCCTGAAATGACAGAGTCTGTAAGTGAGGGACCTAGTTCGGGAGGTCCCCAAGAACTTTCTGCCTCTGAAGCTCACGATTTTCTTCACTTGATGAGAGGAGTGATGTCTGTGGTCTTTGGCCTTGGGCCAAGCCATATTGTGAACAAGATGTACCAGTCCTTCCACATGTACACCCCCTTCTTAGTTCTTACAAAGAGAAAGTTTCAGAAGCTAAAGTGTCCATTCCTGCTGAGCTTTCCAGGTAGTCACATCCCGAGGGAAAGGTTTAAAAATACTGGGGAAAAAAATGTAAAAAGACAACACAAAGTTGACATTAGCTTCTATCCAAGTTGGCACTCCATTTTTTCTCTCTGAGGACTTTCTGTATATGAAACGGCGGAGCCAGCATTTGTGTGTGTGCGTTTGTGTGTAAGTGCATGTGTGTGTTTGTATGTGTGTGTTTGTGTATGTGTCCCTTAAGAAATGATTTCCCTTGATAGCAAGACACAGGAAAGTTTCAGGTAGGTAAGAGGTGCTGAAGGGTGGCACGTCTGACCCCCTGAAGCTGTGGCAATGTCTCCCTCTCTTTTAAAACCACATCTCCGCACTGGCTCTGTGTGGTAGCTCACAGCTACAGCAGTGCCAGCTTGAATCACCAGAATCCAGCACATCTCACTGGCCATCCATCTATCCACCTCCTTCCCCAATCCACCTCCCAAATTGTTTTTGGCTAAACAAGCAATGGAGGCCTGTCAGTTAGATTCTGGTGGCTGCTGGCAATCCTTGACACACCTTAGCTTGGAGAGCATCTCTCCAATCCCAGCTTCCGTCATCCCATGAAGTCATCCCCTGTGTATCTATGTCCAAATTTCCCTCTTTTTCGGGTGTCACCAGTCTTGAACCGGATCCCATCCTCATCTACTAGGACCTCTTCTTAACTTGATTACATCTGCAAAGTCCCAGTTTCCAAATAAGGCCAAGTTCACCAGTTCCAGGTGTACATGAAGTTTTGGGGGACACTATTCAACCCACTCCAGTCACCCAATAGCAATACAATAGCCAAAAAGATGGAGAAGTGAACTTGAAAGAGCAATGCTAAACACAGGAAGTAAATTAAATCAACAAAGAAAGGACAGAAAATAAGGTTTTATTAGGCACACACAAAATAGTGACTTACTTCCCTCCTAATTTTGTGTTTGTCTTTTCCTGAGAACATGTGAGGAATCCACTGCTTGTGAACATAAATTGTCTCTCTCCTGGACCCTTATTCCACAATAGACTCACCCAGGAGAACTTTTCAAAAATACTGATGCTTAGGTCCCCTCCCCAGAGAGTCTGAAGTAATTGGTAGGCATGTGGCCTGAGCACTAGATTTTTAAGTTTCCCCAAGTGATTAGTGTACAGTCAAGGTTGAGAAACACTACCTTAGGTTAATTAAATCAGAATCTCAGGAGTTTATACCAGACAGTAGTATTTTTATCTAATTCCAAGGTAGTTCTCATGTGTAACCCGGATTGAGAACCACTAATACAGCTTCTACATGAATTTCATCTGGTTAATAAATATTTATTTATGATCTCCTATGTCTCAAGCACTCTACAAGACACTAGATGGGGGAGAGGTAAGCTAATAGACTAGGTTCAACCTCCTAGTAACTCAGCACCAGTGGTGGGAACCAAGACAATGCATTCCATGTGTGTAAGAGATGACGCAGAAGGCTGCAGGTGGTGGGGACAGGAGAGTTTGCTGCAGTTGAGCTTCTAAAAAAATATACACACATTAAGCATCTACTATGTCCCATTTATCAATTCTGTTTCTTATAAGGGCTCTGCGCCTTTCACTTGTCCCCTCTTACAATCCTCATCACATTCCTATGAGGTAAACAGGTTTATTCCTAGTTATGAACTAAGGTCCTGTAGCTCAGAGGGGTGAGTTGTCCTATATCCAACAGCTTGGAAGTCTTCAGGCCAGAAGAGGAATCGGGTCAGCCCAATTCTATAGCTTGTGCTTTCAATACATAAACATCATGGGCTTGCATGGGTTTGGGCACAGACTGCTTTCTACCCAACTCCAAGCTCACTAGAGCAACTCTCAAGAAAAAGTACTAAGAAAAACTACCATATAACAGTCTCGTGTTTTTTAAATGATGAAATGTAATGTAAATCAGTGCTACTCAAGTGTGGTCTGAGGACCAGAAGCATCCGGGGAGCCCTAGAGACCTAATTCTCAGACTCCACGCCACACACACTGAATCAGAATCTCTGAGGGCGAGGCTCAGGAATGTCTATTTGTTTAAATATTTTGTTGTTGTTGTGGATAAAAGCCCATATAAAATTTACCATTCTAATCATTTTTAAGTGTATAGTTCTGTAGTGTTAGGTATATTCACATTGTTGCTAAACAGAGCTCCAGAATTTTTCATGTTACAGAAACTATACTCAACTCCCTTTTCTCCTCTCCTCCCACTCCCTGGTAACCACCGTTTTACTTTCTGTGTCTATGAATTTGACTACTTTAGATCCTTCACATAAGTGG